GCAAGAACGGTGCCATCGACGTCCCCGTGAGGTCCTTCCTTGTGGGGAGGCAGCACAAAGAAAGGTTCCGCCGTGTCGGAGCGCGCTTCGACAAACACGTGCTCATATCCGAATAGGCGGGGATTTGTCATTCGGATGCGGCAACCGCAGGGATACTGACAAGCAGTATCCGCTTCATAAACTAATGCGAATGCTAATATACGGGCAATTTCTGAGGCAGCAAAGGCAACGCAGAAATTCTCGTGAACTTGCTTTAATCCATTGTTAATCTTTAGGCAGTTGAAAGCCTCCAAAGAGAGCCTTGCACAATGCCCTATTCAGATTCGTCCATACCATCAGCAGTCAAAACGAAGGGTAAATTTGTGGCTATTAGCGTAGTCTTCACTGCAGCATCCTCGGGATAGACAAGACGGTCGATGCAAGGGACCCCGAATGTGCGGAGATATGTGGAGCATGCTTTCTGCTTCTCTTCAACGCAGCTGAATTCTGCACAGAAAATACGGTGTAGCAGAACATCATAATAAACTGTAGCCTTGGATATGATATCTAACGCACGTGCGAGGATTGGATGTCGCCTCACCAGCTAGGGCGAAAATCGGAGAGAATCGTTTTTCTAATTTGTCGCTAATGGCTTTTTCTCCCTTGGACTGCATCGTATTCTAATCAAACACGATCCGCAACGCAAACAATCTATATTCTTTCTGTCCTCATAGTCGCCACAAAGGCTAGGCAATGAGACAGTGGGCGTCCAACTTACATCTTCTGTTTGGTCAAGAGTTCGCAATCTGTCGTCAAATATTTCCACCCTTTTGATCTTTCCACAGCCAGAAAAAGCCTATAGTACAAGCGTCACACGAAACAGCGAGCGCGTAGTTTGCCTGCGGCGAAAAACACGAGCGGCTGCAAAAGTAAAGGGCAGCGGAACAGATGTCGCCACACTTTGCAAAGGCAATCCGTAAGAACGTCTCGAGGAGCATGGGGAAGATTGGAGAGGAAGACGAGGCTCTTTGATCTGCTGCCAGTTTCTGGAATTGAGGGGTCTTTCCAGTCCACCACAAATTCCCCAATTCGTTTCTGCAAATGCACCCGGAAGGAGAATCAGCTAGTTTGATGAGCATGCACTGTCAGCCAATGCACAGATTTCCCAGCCTTAAATCCCCGTGTCTTTCCACTTCGAGGACGCAGTGCCACATATAAGCCTTTAATTTGCTTGCCTCAGTCAAGCGCGTGGGGGTGGGGGGCCTCGTGGCAACTTCTCGAGTGTGCGCGTGGGGCTCATTTTCTGAATGGTCTGTGCAGCTCGAGCCGCTGCTGAGCCACTCGCCGTCACCGCTGGCCGGCATTCGCTGCGGCTGATGAGCTGTTCGTTGAAAACTGAGAAGTTCCGCGCCAACTGTGTAGTCGCCCATTATTGACTGTGGGATTCCATCTCCGACTTCGTCTTGCTGCTCACCACAGGACACGAGAAGCAGCAGCAAACTGCGGCGCATTCATTGCCTCGGGCCCTCTAAAGTGCTCCCTAGAGGTCCCTGGTTGGCCTGGAAATGACTGACAAGGAGTGCACGACGCGCTTCTGGCGCCGCCTCCCAACTTGCACAGTGCGGCTTTAGTAAGAGTGACGTACTGTGTAAATGCGCTCCGCCGAAGCCTTCGAGAGGCGGAGGAAGTGATGGGGGTCTACGAGGTCAAGGCTTTCTGAGAGAAGTTTAGTGAGCTCTGCTTGATGCTCTTCTGCAGAAAAACGCAAAGCAATGAAGTTGCAACGCGAGCAGCCCACTGTTGGGCTGCTTGTTTCCGTCTGCAGCAGCAGCTGCAACGCCGCAAATAGGCTGTTTGCAGCGCGGGAAGCAGAACAAACTGCGAGAAATGTTTAAAAGTCAGAGTGAGGCACTTACTAGGAACGATCTTTCCAATATCTCGTATCACTGCGAGCTTGTTGTGAGCCCGTGGCGCTTTCTTAAGCGCCTTGTACGCCTTGAGGCGGACGGCGACGCGCTCGAGCTGCCGATCTGTGAGCCAGTCGGAGCACTTTCGGACAAATTTGGAATAGCTCAAGCCGCAGTTGGAAGGAGCGGCGTCTGGCTGCGAGCACTCAGCAGGCTGGGTGCTTAGGCCCTTCGCCTGTGGCATCTGCAGTCGCCACTGTGCCTTTCCTCCCCTATTTGCGCATCCATTGGAAAATTCACGCGCCGTTATAGCCGTAGACAGGCCCCTCTGATCCGCCAGATGCGGCCATATCTGTGTGGCGGATACAACAGCTTCCCTGTCTACTTCTGAATTCCCAATAATCAAGCGATGCTGACAGGTCCATTGCTTCCATTGCCTGTCTTCTCCACGCAGGTGGCAAGCAAAGGAATTTGAAAGACGAAAGTGATCGAATTTGTTGGGCAAAATCACGTGAAGACCGTTTACTCGGCCTAGGCGAGGCCACCTGGCCGCGAATGTCATCGGATCGCCGATGGCAGGTCTACAGACGGAATTCTGCTGTATCTCCCCGTATGAAGATGAAATAAGCGCTTCAAATATCTAATTAAACACTTAATACGCCAAATGACGCGCAGATTGCTGTAGTTTAGCCTCTGATCACCATCTACGCCCTCGAATCTGCCGATGTTTTCAGAGGGGCCCCCTAATGGGGCTCTTCACGCAGCAGCAGATAGCGCAAAAGATAAACAATTCATAAAGATGAATACAATTGTGTTATATGATATACTGAAAATTCCTTGAGGCATGGATCCCTAAGGATGTGCTCCTGAAACTTGCAATACCAAAGGTGAAGGGGAAACACCAGTAGGCTCACATGAAACATAGGCCTTCGAGGGAAATGTCGAATTGGAATCATTCTAAAATCCAGTTTAGCGGAAACTCGCAGAACAATCTTTGAATGCGTTGCTTTTAGAGGTTTGAGGACGAATATTTTAAAGAAGCTCTGCAGCAACCATGCACGAATGGCATAGGATTGGTGTGTCTTTGAGCCTGTCGGTGCTTTGCGCATAATATATATATATATATATATATATATATATATATATATAATATGCATATATATACACATATCTGATATATAACGCGAATTGTGGGAGATGGCTGCAGTAGCGTGAGATTCGTTGCTTTGCAGTGCATAGTGTGCAGTGCAAATCTGTCATCTTCTGTGAACGCTTTAAGAGAGGAATGTGTATCGCGTATGGAAGAATTTGGATTGAATTTAGAGGGTTTACAACCATGCAGCTCATATTCATAGTCACCCAATTGATTTCCCGCGACAAATCTGCATGTCGTTCTGTTTCAAGAAACCCAAACACGCTGGAGGTTGGAGCAGCTGACACGGCTACTTATACATAAACATCTACACAGCATAATCATGCCTTTCTGACATTTCATAAAGATATGCATTATGTGCTTGTGTCTGCATGTTTAGGAATATGTCAGGCTAGCGAGACGCTCGTCTCATTCAAATTCAAATTGCTGCACAACTCATGTGTCTACTCTATAAATGAACAAAGGGAAGCCAACATGACATTAGATGGATCATTTACTCTCTTATCGCATTTTAATCTCACTTGTTCATTATTGGATTCTTAATATCAACTCTGTTTCCAAAACAGCCTTCAAACTTCCATAAAGAAGAAGCGCTTCATCCAGAAGGCTCAACAGAAAGCCAATTCAAGCCTTGAGTCTAGTTGTAGGAAGCAGCTTATGTCAAGCAAAAGAGAAATGACACACTTCATATTGTTTTCTCTAACGTCTCTGCACTGAATTCGATTTGTGTTTGCCGTTTGGAACATATATAATTCACCCTGTAGAGGCTTCGCTGGGCCACTTCACATGCTTAACTTGACTCTAATTAATTAAAGTACATCGAATGGCCAATACTTCTTCACCCGCCTTTTTGTTTATCTGTGAGCGCACATATTAGCGGCCTGCAGACGCAGCCGCAGTACAAACTGAATTGCTCTCTTTCTATGCAGCTAATTCAAACACCAAATGCAGCTAATGGCCATATACGCATTTGCATGCATATTCGCCTTTATATTCAAATTCATTTGCTGGAACTAATTGTTTTATCTCCACAATAATGTGTACATAAATCTACCGACACATGCTGTGGGAAACACTGAAAACTGTCGCAAACTGGAGCTAATAAAGCAGTTAAGGCGTTTTCAACTCAGAATAAAGAGCCCGGCTGGCTGTTTGCGCATATCTGTATGGTTCTATTCGCCCTTTTAGTGTATATGTTTTAATTTTTCACAAAACAAAACGAAATTTTAATACCAAAGTTTCTTTACATAGCTGCTAGACAATTTCAGTGGAGCTTCCATGTTATGCCTCTTGTCGTTTTGTTCAGCATCTGCACTTCACCTCCTATGACTTGAAAATGCCCCCTTAGAAGAATCTAGCGAAGATATTCTCCTCAAATTCTCAAAAGCCTTCAAATAGACTTTAAAAGTAATTTTTAAGTCCTGAGTTTAGAGTTCAATGTTCAGATGTTGGAGTTTCAAGGCCGGTCTGGTCCCTCCCTACTGCTGGCACTCATGGCTTGGATTCCCGCCGCTACTCGAGCGACGAAAAGTTGCAATTTTCATTATTTATGCAAATTTAGCCAATTTAATCATATTTTAGTATTATTTTGCGTTTTGTTGCAGACAGTTGACCCTTTTTTCAAAGATCGCGCGTAGTCACGCGTTGGTCCGGGCCTTGACCGCATTGCCAGTGTGCGTGTGGCGGCGAAAATGGGTCCGGAAGATGAGTAAGCGGGGTTGACGGGCCTCTTGGCTGGCTTATTGAAAGCATAAAAGGTTATATTATTCATATTCAAAGGAAATTAACTGAATTTTATTTCTGTTTTCGCAGGTTTCTGCGGTTCGCTGCAGCCGGATCCTCCCGCGGTCGATCCTTTCTGCCGGTTCCCGGTGGCCGTTTTGCCTTCTGAAACGCCCCACAGGGCTCTCCCGAGCTGTTTTTGAATTTAAATTAATTTTTTCTGTTTAATTTCTTTGGAAATGGGCCAGTCGAGCTCTTCGGCCTCCAGTGGCCGCGCTGCTGCGCCCACACAGCAGCAGCAGCAGCAGCAGCGCAGCGCGGGGGCTGCGCCTTCGCGCTCTCTGTCGCAGCAGATGGTGAGCGCTTGCCGCCGGAGTGGCCAGCAGCCTTTGCGGGAGGCCTTCGTGTCTTGTTCCTCCCCCTCCCTCCCCCACGCCTCCTCCCCCCCAGCAGCAGCAGCAGCAGCAGCAGCAGCAGGGTTGCCGGTGAGCTACCGCGGGGGCTGCAGCTCGCTGCCCGCGTCGTCGCGGGGCTCTTCGCCTGCTGCTTCGCGCGCGAGTTCGGAGTCTTCGCTGCTGCTGCCAACTCCGACTCCTTCTCGGCAGCAGTCCTTTACTTTTGTGCCTCCCGCGTGGCGGGACCCTTCCTTTGTGTCTTGGACTCCGCAGCAGCAGCAGCAGCAGCGGCTGCAGCGCTCCGCGTCCTCCCCGGTCCTGCCCCACGCGGGGCAGCTCTCCGCAGCAGCAGCAGCAGCAGCAGCAGCAGCGGGTGCGGGGGCGCCGCGCTCCGCCGCGCGCCGCCCCGCCGCCGCGGCCGCAGTAGCCGCGGCCGCAGCAGCAGCAGCACCGCAGCAGCAGCAGCAGCAGCAGCTGCAGCAGCTGCAGCAGCTGCAGCGCGAGCCGTGCGTGGTGGGCTGGTGGGAAGTGGAGGAGACGAAGGAAGTGGTGTACCCGTGCGGGCGGCGGGTGTTCAGGTGTACGTACTGCAACGCGGTGCTGCGGAGAACGAAGAACTTCATTTCGAGTTGGCCAAAAGTTTTATTTTGCGAAAGCTGCCGGCTGCTGCCGCAGTGCAACTCGTGCTGCAAGAAGGCAGTGCCCTTCATCTTCAGCAGCAGCAGCGGCAGCAGCAGCAGGGCCGAGCCCGTCTGCAACTTCGGGGGCCTCTCCACCTGCGGCCAGTGCAGTTTGCTGCGGCCCGTGGCCGATGCTGCTGCGCTGCAGCCCCTTGTCAGCAGCAGCAGGCAGCTGCTGCGCGACTTCTTTGCTGTTCGCTTCACGCAGCAGCTGCTGCAGTCCCACGCGCGCCCGGAGGTGCTTTGCTGCCTCGCTGCGCTGCGCCGCGCAGCAGCAGCGGACGACAGCAGCAGCAGCGGCCGCTGCACCCTCCTCCTCGACGTCCCTGCCGCTCCGCAGCAGCAGCAGCAGCAGCAGCAGCAGCAGCAGCTCCTCAAGGCCGACTGCCACGGAGACGTCCAAAACCTCCCCTTCGAAATCACTCCCGTCTGGCACATGCAGCTTTCCCGCGGCAGCAGCCAGAACGTCTACGGCAGGTGCGAGGCGCGGGCGCTCACCTTCCCCGCGGCCCCCGCAGCAGCAGCAGCAGCAGCAGCAGAAGCAGCAGCGCCGCGGACGTACCGCGTAGTGCAGCGGATCCTGCTTTCCCGCGGGGTCCCCGAGGGCCTCTTCTGCGGGCACTTGGCGCACGAGCTGCTGCATGCGTTTATTTGGCTTTCGCTGGAGGGCAGCAGCGCCGTGAAGATCGACTTGGCCGCGGAAGAGGGGCTGTGCAACTGCATCCTGGCGACGGCGCTGCAGGTCCGGGTGGAAACTCTGCAGAAAAAACGCGAACAACTCCTCGACTCTTTGTTAAAAAGGGGATTTGCCCCGCAAACAAACCCCTCCGTCAAGGAAATCGAAGGACTGCCGCAAACTGCCGAGTTCCTCAAGGCCGTTTGCAACTTGCACGCCGGCGCGCGCGCTCCCGCCGCGGGGTGTACGTACACCCCGCCGCTCCGCGCCCGCAGCCGCTTCCAACTGGAATACGAACTTTATTTGACGGAATATGAGTTGAAAGTGCTGAACCGCAGGCTGGGAGAAATGGAAAGAGACGCAGACCCCAACTACGGCGTCGGCTACCGCACAGCCAGGGCTCTCGCCATGAAGTGCAGCATGCCCAAGTTGGTTCAGATCCTGTGCATTGAGGGGCACTCGCTGGACTCCTTCGTCAGAGCCACTCAAGTTTGCTTTTAAATTCGAAATTTGAAGCAAATTCGCAGAAGCAGCAGCAAGCTGCAGCAGCAAGCTGCAGCGGCGGCCCGTAGCAGGTGCGGACGCCCAGCAGCGAGAACCGCAGCTGCTCCAGGCCCCAGCAGCTCAGTACAGGGGCCCCAGCAGCTGCAGCGCAGCAGCAGCAAACAGCAGCAGCGCAGCAACTTGGCTAGAAGAGCTGCGCGCAGCCACAAGAGCCCAAAGTGCAGCAGAGCTTTTGCATGAAAATAAAAAACGAAATAAAACAAGACAACTCGGAAAGCCGCAGCCGCCGGCCTCATCAGCTTCAAAGACAACAGCAAAAGGTGCAGCGGAACTGAACAAAAAAGAAATACTTTTTCGCTTCGGAATCTGTTGCTGCTGCTCTTCGCCTGCTTTCAGAGCCAACTGCTGCTGCTGCTGCTGCTGCTGCTGCTGTTGCTAACGGCCTCTCAAATTAACCCTCAGGGCCTCCAGTTCGCAGTCAAGGATGAGTTGGCAAATTAGCCAGAAACACACAGGGCCTAGGGACTCCACGGGTGCTGCTGCTGCTGTTGCTGCTGCTGCTGGCGTTGCTGCTGCTGTTGCTGCTGCTGCTGCTGCTGTTGCTGCTGCTGTTGCTGCTGCTGCTGCTGTTGCTGCTGCTGCTGTTGCTGCTGCTGCTGCTGCTGTACCTGGACAAAGGGCTGTGGAGAGCGACTCAGCAGCTCGCAGCAAACAGTGAATAGCAATTTATCATTGAGGGGGGAAAAACTAATAAATGAGAAACTGCAGCAAAAATGCAACGCAGCAAAAAGCCGAAGGCAGCAGCAGCAAACCGCAACGAGAAACAAACAAGGAGCAGCAAAAGGCCAAAATAAATGAAACACAAGTTCTTAAAAGTTCATTTGCAAGAAACGCCGGAGACGGCGATGAGCCGCAGCTGTTTGCTGCCGCCTTTTTCTTTCTCTGCTCGCTGCTGCCTCTGCTGCTGCTCGGATATCCAGTCCCACCAAGCAGCAGCAGCAGCAGCAGCAGCAGAGTCAGAAGTCCCAAGAAAAGGCGAAGAGGAAAAAAACAATTAAAGCAAAACCAACCAGCAGGCGGGCGGCGACGGACAAGCAGGTGTACAGACACCGCAGCGCGCAGCCCAGGGTGTCTGTGTGCTGCTTTTCTGCATCTCCATTAAGTGCTTCTTTCCCTCCTTTTCCATTTTTGTTTCTTTTGCTGCTGCTGCTGCTGCTGCTGCTGGTCTGCAGCACGGAAAGGGCCCCGTAGCTGTGCAGCGGGGAAAGCGCCGCTGGCAGCGGCGCGAAAACGTCGCCCCACATGTCTTCATTGCTGCTGCTGCTGCTGCTGCTGCTGGAAAAGCTTTTAATTTTGTCTTCTTTGTTTTCTTTATCCGAGCTGGCGCTTTTAGTTGAATCAGCTTCGCCGCTGCAGCTGCTGCAGCTGCTGCAGTTCCCATGGTTGTCGCCGCCGCAGTTGCTGCAGCTATTCGTGCTGCAGATGTCGCCGTTCCTTTTGCTGCTGCAGCTGCTGCAGCTGCTGCTGCTGCTGTTTCTTTTGCGCCTTTGTTCGCAGCCGTTGGCTCGCATGAAATCCATTTGCACCTCCTGAAGTGCTGCTGCGCTTTCCTGCTCCTCTTGGCTTTCTTGCCTCTGTCTGACTTGCGCGTCTGCTGCTGCTGCTGCTGTTGCTGCTGCTGGTTCCCGGGGCGACAGGAAGGCCGATTCGCCCAGGGCGTCGGCGCTGCTGCTGCTGCTGCTGCTGCTGC